TTGTACTTACTTTTAATGTTATTACTGGAGAAGCATAAATTATCAACCAATCATATTAGGTTAAATTCCTGTATTACAGCTAATCCATTGAATTGTTTTGAAGAAAATGTGTAAATTAATATTTTCCCCATCTCTTAAGGGATAGAGATTCATATTATATTAATAACATTGCCAAACAAGGTTGGGGAAGAGAGGCTATAAATGTTAGCATACGTTGATTGATTAGTGTATTGTATCCTAATAAAACAAAGAGGTTTATGGTCAGTGACTAGTTGTTGACTTTCTTAATAAACCTTTGGAGATGTTTTGCTTGCATGGGATTGCAATTAAAAAGTGACTAGATAGCTTATTCTTTAAAATTCGTGTTTTAAGCTGCCTTGCATTTTTTTTGCTGTAAAACCTCAATGCTTTTCTTTTGTTTTTAGGCAGATGAACCTTCTTGCAAGCTTACATTTCTAGTCGCTGGGAGGGGAGGTTTCAGTTAAATTGTTCCTTTTTTCGCTTGTCATCTCGTAGCTTAAGCTGTCAAGATGAAAGGCCACACAAGAAGATTTAACACATATAATACCTGTGACAATTAAATGCATCACAGTAATTAGTATTTACTATACAAATGACATTCATATCCCAAGCTTTAATTAACGGAAAGAAAAAAAATCTGTAAGAAAACATATTTACCCATCACTATTATTTCCCAAAATCTAATTGGCTACAACACTTATTAAAAATGTGAAAGCAACTGCTGATCTGTCCCCTAGGATTGTGCTAGCCACAGAAGGGCTACTTTGCACTGAAAATTGCAAAGCTACAATACAATCCTACATATTGCAAAAAGTGGTAAACGTGTTTTCTTAAACACCTCAGTTGATTCAGTGCATTGCAATCCTAGTAAGTAGGTTATTTGTGGTTTTATGCTTTTACCCTTCCATCCTTCCGAGGTCGGTAAAATGAAGACCCAAAGTGTTGGGGGCAATAGGCTGATTCTGTAAAACCACTTAGAGAGGGCTGTATATAGCGTGGAGCAGTATATAAGTCTAAGTGCTATTGCTATTAGGGAACCAGATCTTGAGATTATAAATGTTAGAGTGGCTCATAACTGCAAATAGATATGGTTAGGATGATTTCTGATAAGAATGACAGATGTTTTAAAAGCATAATTTAAAAGTAGAATTAATATTTAATACCAATGATATCTACCATAAATAACTACTGTCTGTCTTTCATTATATTTATATAGATTAACTACATTATATATTTTATATGTGGCCCAAGACCAAGACAATTCCTCTTCACTCAATGTATCCCAGGGAAGTCAAAAGGTTGGATACACCTCATGTAGACCAAGCAATTCTTTTGAAATCATATCCATGGTATTTTTATGTACAAACTTCCTTCAACAAGGGTGATGGTGTTGCTAATGGCCTTATGGTGTAAGTTTTTCCTTCTCTCTTCATGGACTCTTTTCTATTAGGCTCTTAGTGATGGCTACCAAGATGTTCTCCTTATATCCCTATCTAGAGACATACAGGTAGTTCTTGACTCATCACAAAATCTCCATTGCTAATCAAGAAAGCTGTTATAAGTAAGTTTGGACCCACTTTATGACCTTTCTTGCCACGGTTGCTAAGTGAATCACTGCAGTTGTTAAGTTAGTCAAACAGTTGTTAAGTGAATTTGGCTTCCCCATTGACTTTGCTTGTCAGAAGGTCCCAAAAGGTGATCACATGATCCCAGGACACTACAACCATGCTAGTTGCCAAGCCTCTGAATTTTGATCACATGACTATAGGGATGCTGCAATGGTCGTAAGTGTGAAAAACAGTCATTAAGTCACTTTTTTTCAGTGCCACTGTGACTTTGGTCACTAAACAAATGGTTAAGTTGACGACTACCTATACAGGTGCTCTAGAAATATCTCCAGAAATTAAAAATAAATTTCCTGAAACTATAGGACAGTAACATTGTCAATCATAGTCCAACAACAAATATATGTATATATATATATATATATATATGTATGTATGTATGTATGTATGTATGTATGTATGTATGTAGAAGAAGCGATAGACATCATGATCTCCGGAACGTTTAAAACTTTTAAACGTTCCGGAGATCGTGATGTCTATCGCTTCTTCTACAACTATACCCGGAACTCGCATCTTTAGGACAATTCTTAATATATATATATATTAAGCACGAAGCCGAGAACACCAGCCTGAAGATGACGAATGAGACTTCGTCGAAACGTCGCCAAGACACTTCCAATTTTACGTGGGAGAAGACCCGAATAACCAAAGACCTATATATATATGGTAACTGAAGTTATGCAATCCTTTTTTATAGAGATTTACAAATTATTTTTTGTCCAATCTATTTTGTCCAATCACTGCTTGGAGCAGTGTTCCTGCAACAATTATGCGAACTGTTTGTAGAAAATTGCTTTATGCGAACTGTTTGTAGAAAATTGACAATCCAAAGGAGATCTGCCCACAGCAGCCTTAAAAAAAAATCTACATTTGGCATTCTTCCATTATTTAATGTTGATTTAAATAGTTTTGTCCCTTGAACTGAAAATCAGCAACCTTCATTAGAGCCCAATTTGATTTGAAATGAATGAAACTAAAATTAAACTAAAAATTCTTAGGTAGTTATATGATATGAATGTTGCAGGACAATGTCCTGGTATACTGTGGTTGGGATCAAATTACAAGTCATGTTTTGCTGAATTGTAGCCAGTTAAAAAAAATTAGCACACAGCTCCATATAGCATGCTAGGCCAAAACCAAGCCATATTATGATTTAGAGCAACATGTTAATTCAGCAATCTAATCAGGTATAAATGGGTAACAGTTACATGACTTTTAGGTCCATACATTGAAAAGGATAGAGTCAGAATGTCACACTGTCAGCTGGTATTCGAGAGTGAATGAATGTCAAGTTGGGTCTGATTCTTGATGACAAATGTTCAAAAAGTTTAGTAATGATATGTACCGGTAACTTTTATAAGAACATTCTAATAATCCCTTTGAGCCCCCTCCCCCCCATCCACCTTACCTGTTGTTTTCTTTCTTTCTATTAACTTGTTCAATATGCAAAGGACAAAAATTGTTTCTAGTTGAGGATAAAAAGCCCACATGGGCAAAATAAAGTGGGCAGCTATGTAATCATGCATGTAAAAAAGGGGTGGGTATTAGGGCTGCCTCTGACCAATTCTTAGGAAAGAAAACCCTTGACTCCATAGATTCAGAGAAAAGGTACTTTTACTAAGAAAGAAGTGAATGCAGCAAAAGTCAGGCAAGGTCTGAAGCAAACACATGTGGAAAAGACAAATTGAAAATAACCACAAAGCCCACCCCCCAGTAGCCAGACAGACAGAGTCCAATCATTGGCCAGGAAGATGTTTTGGGAATGTCTCTCGTCCAGTCCAGGAGCTCTGTGCTGCCCTTGTGCATGCCATTCCTAGGACGGTTGGCCTTGAAGATGTTAAACAACCCAAGCTGGCCTCTCTGAGTCCAAGCCTCCCTATCGGTTCTCAGAAATTCCACTCTCAGACCTCCTGCACGCTTCCCCTCCCAAATGCCCATTGCTCCCTCCCTTCCCGTTTCCATGGCAGCTGGCAGCAAGCTTGAAGGAAAGCGATGATGGCCAGGCTGACACTCTGATCTTGTGGGCAGAGATGCCTTGACTTTTTTGCTCCTATCCATCAACACCTGTTTCTAGCACATCATCTGGTTGCATTGTATACCCAAATTGTGCAAATTTCTGTTTTCTGATAGATCAGTTTTCCTTGCAGATTACAAATCCTTAAGGTCTGAAGATCTCTTTTTGGTTTTTCTTGCTGTGGCCCTCATTTATACTTTACCATAGCACAAGGGCTCTAACAAATATCAGTTCCCTTTTTGGCACCCTGATGTTCCTGACATCTCATTCCCAACGAAGTAATGAAACAGCCTGAAATTATCAGGTGAATCGCTATAAAATATATTGTCTTTACCATTTTAACATAGGGCATACATAGTATGCAAACTCCCCAATACATTCTGAGGACATACAGTACTTATTTTTATCCCACTTTTATTTTTATAAATAAGTCAAGGTGCCAAACATAACTAATATTTTTTCCTCTTCCTACTTTTCTCCATAACAACAATCCTATGTGGTTAGTTGGGCTGAGGGAGAGTGACTAACTCCAAGTCACCCAGCTGGCTTTTACATCTAAGGTAGGACTAGAATTCAGTGTCCTGATGCCAACCCTGTTTGAGGTCCTGAAGTCAGAGATTAGGGAGAATTGTGAAAGCTCCCTAGGAAATCTTGGGGCTGTTCTATATATGGCCTCAAACCCCATCTCTCAAAAGCACCCTAGTCCCACTTTCTTGATGTCATCTATTTAATACTTATGGCTTCAAGAGGTTATCTTCCAGGAAGTGCCCCTCCGGCAGCTGCTCTCTAAGCCTGATTTATGATACGTAGAAATACGCTTCCAAAAAGGTAAACATTATTTTTTAAAATGCAACTTCTTGGCCCTGTAATGTATAATGGTGTGATTAGAGATTTCAGCACCCTTTCCCCGCTTTTGGAGAAAAATCACTTTAGCAAGAGATTTTTTAAAAAATCAAACTTTATTTTTAAAAAAAGGCAAGGAATAAGAAGCCCGATTTACCATGTTCTTGGTAGGCCAGAAGATGGTAGTAGTTCAAATGGCAAACAAGGAGAGGGTCCCCATTTCAATTTTAGATTTCTGATCACAAAGAGTGAATTAAAACTCACCGCTGCAATTACATAGAAATCCTATTTGCATGAAGAAATGACAACACAATAAGACTAAACTAAATTTTGACCCAGCTTTAGACTAAATTACCTGAAGGAAAGTCCTCTGCTCCTTTTTTTCCTGGCCACAGCACTGTTGGGGAGATGATGCCCCCCAGAAGGTCTGCCAACCCAGCTCGACCTGTTTCTTTAACAGATTAACAGAGTTGGAAGCAGGGCTGGGTTCTACTTACCTTTACTACCGGTTCGCAACGAGGCTGCTCGCACGCGCGCTCTTCTGTGTTCTGATGACATCAGGGTCAGTGGGCGGAGCATCCCGCCCGTTTTATTACCAGTTCTATAGAACTGGTGCGAACCAGGAGGAACCCACCACTCGTTGGAAGGCAGCATCTAGTCCAACCCCCCCCCCCCCCCCAAGGAGGAGACCCTCGACCATTTCTGACAAATGGCGGTCCAGTCTCTTCTTGAAAGCTTCCAGTGATGAAGCTCCCACAACTTCTGAAGGCAATTTCTGTTCCATTGGTTGACGGTTCTCACTGTCAGAAAATTTCCCCTTATTTCCAGGTTTAATCTCTCCTTGTTCATTTTCCATCCATTGTTCCTTGTCTGGCCTTCGGGTGCTTTGGAAAACAGATTGACCTCCTCCTCTCTGTGGCAGCCCCTCAAACATTGGAAGATTGCTATTATGTTTCCCCTGGTCCTTTCTCTTCACTTCTTGCTCCAGTTTCCTGCAGTTCTCCTGACTCTTTCTCCATCTAGGAGGGGAAGCCTGGCAGAAGAAGGCTGTATTCAGGCGCAGCCTTGTCATAATTGGGGGAAGGGGGTCGTTGAGGTCATTCAGACGAGCCCCTTAACCCATCAGAGGCTGCCCAGCGTCTCCAGGTTGCTCACAGCATCCCTCTGCGGCCATTGGCTGGGGTGCCGTGACGTCACGGAACCTGCCATCCTCTCAAGCGAATGCCCCCGCGGTAAGAACCGGGGCGCGAAAGAGCGTCAGCCAAAGAAAAGGGCAGGTGAGCGATGGTGGGTTTCGCCTCGTCCCGCCCGGCCGTCACCTCCAAGCAGCCCCCCTGGCCCCGCCTCGCCCCCGAGGAGGAAGCTCCCCCTCCCGGGCAGCGGCGTCCCGCCCTGAGGGGACGGACAAAATGGCTGCCGCGCGCGCGCCGCGGATTCAAACGCCGGGCGCGGGGCGGGGGCGGGGGCGGCGGTCTCCCGGCGGGGTTCACTGCGCTTGCGCCCCGCGATTCAAGATGGCGGACAGTGCGGAACTAAAGGTAAAGGCGCAGTTGGGAGCCCCCCCGCCTCCCTCCGCGGCCACTCTCCGCCCCCGCCCCGGGCCCTTTCGGGGGGGCGGCGGGGCCCACGGGGGTGGCGGCGGCGGGGGCGCCTCTGAGGCGGCGGGGTCGGCAGGAGCGCGGAGGAGGGGAGAGGGGCAGGGAGGACTGAGGAGGGCGCCCTCCCCCCGGGCTGCCTGGAGAAAAGACCCCCGGAGCCCCCGGCCGCCTTCGTCCCGCTGCGGGGCTCCCGCTTCCTTCCCCGCGGAAGACCGGGCTGCTCTCCTCCGGGCAGGACGGGGCTCCCCGCGACCGTCCCCCGCCGGAGAGCGGAGCCAGCTCGGGACTTCTTTTCTGCCCCGGCTCTCGGGGCCCAAGTCCTGCCGCAGATGCGGGGAGCCCTCTCGCCCGAGCCTGCCTGCCTGCCTGTCTGCCGGCCGCCCCCTCCCTCCCGTCGGCCCCAGGGACCCGTGCCGGCTTTGCCCCGGGAAAGGCTGGGAAAGTCTCTCGGGCTCGGGACGGGAAGAAGCGGAGAGGGCGCCTTGTCGTCCAGGGGTTTCCCTTTCCTTTTGGCCAGACGGGGCCGGACGGAGGGAGGGAGGGTGAAGGTTTTCTTCCTCGGAAGATGCGTGTGCGCGGGACGCCAATTGGGGTCGTGTGGACGCGGCGCGCTCGGCGAGGGGCGCCATCCAACGGGCGGGCGGGCGGCGATGTCAGTTCGCGGGAGTTGGGGCCGGAGTTGCAAGGAAGGAAGCGGGGAGAAAGCGGGGCTTCCTCGGCTTCTCCCTCTCCCGGCTTGCGCGCATTTCCCGGCTCTCCCCCCCCCCCTTTCTCTCCCTCCCTCCCTCCCTCCCGAAAGTTCAAGCTTTTCCGAGCTCTCTGGAAGGCGAGAAGGGGCGGAAGGAAAGCGGATTCCCTCCTACTCGAGAGGAGAGAGAGTAAAAGGGGGGCATCTCGCCGGCTCCTTTTTTCCTACGGAGACTCCTTCTGAAGGGCCCCAGGGATGACAGCTGGGACCCCCGTGAGAGAAAATAGTTTAAATATCTCTGGGCGCTTAACAGCCTCTCAAGAAGTTTTTCTTTTTAAAGCAATATCCCTTTTGTGAAAAGAACGTTTGATGTAGTTATAAGATTCTTAGCGTTTCAATTTCCTGTTGGGGTTGCACTGAAGTGTTTTGTAATATTAATTTCCTTTACTTAATTATTCATACGTTTGGTGATGATAAAAGGATTTTTGGGGGGATATATTCAGTTACAGCGCTTAATATTTTCATTTATTACAAGGCTAGCTAGTTTCCATGAAATACAACAAATGCCTGAAGTGCAAAGTGAATGCTTAATTTAAAAAGTCTTTAGTGCAGATGGAAGGCTTTTTTTTTTCTTGTACAGAGTTTGGGTCTTTATAAGCCACAAGGTAAGTCAAATTTGTACATCAGCATTCAGTCAGAGGTAATGTAAAAGCTTTCTGAAGAGCAATAGCTGCAGCATGCTATATTAGATGCTTGGTGTAGGTTTAAATAGGGATGAGGCTGGAAGGGAAGACAGGATAGTTGTGATAACAAGTATCTAATAATTAACAATTATAATGTGTTGAAAACCTATTGTGCTTGCTGAGACTTTTTGAGATTTTTGATGTACTGGAGCCAGAGGGCCTCTAGGTATCTATAAAGATCTTTTTTCATTCTTCAACTGTGCTTTGATCTTTCAGGAGTTTGTATACAAAGTGGTGGCTATTTTCTTTGAATGGACCCTGTTTATCACCTCCCCCTTGCCTTTGTGCTTTGAAGAGAGAAGTGGAATTTTGCTGGTCTGGAAATAAGAGTCTTTAAAAAAAATCCCCAAGCATTGTTTTTAGCCAGCTGTTGTAAAGCATAAAAACATTTATCTGTTTTCATTCATTCTTTGAGTGGCTTCGTTAATCTTGGCTCTGATTGGCTGAGATGATGGGCTCATTAGGGAATAGTTTTAAAACCTGACTGTTTTAGATGGCAAAACATTCCTCCTTTTCTCTCTCTTCAAGGTCCTGTGGAGAAAGCAAATTTATATCTCAGGGATATACATTTTTTCCTTCGGTAAGCACGAGAAAATGACTCAAAACAACATTAAAAGCACTTTTTAAGACATGAAATTTTCCCTGCCATCCCTCTATCTTTCTTTTCCCCTGCTCATTTGCCAACATTAGGTATTCTGTTCTCTCTGTAGCATATGTCTGACGTTGATTTTTATTGCTTCCTTTGGTGTTAACATAAATTTTAAAATATGCAATTGTTTTTTAACATTTAACACAAACTCAAGGCAATTTACAGAATATTAAATACTAAAACATTGTATACATTTAAAACTAAAATGAGGAATACAAGCAAACAAAATCAATTGAGAAGACTAAAACTTAGAATCTGATCCACCTCACAGGGACGTTGTAGGGAAAATAGCCTCCTGTTTGTATGGGAATATGTCCATTGTCTTGAATTATTTGTAAAAATAATAAAGGGATAGAAATAAAAAAATATCTAGCAGAGGTAGAACAGAAGACAAATATTTTTAATGCTTGACTTAAAAAAACAATTGAGGCCAAAATTTCCATTGTGAAGAAGACAGTTGCTAAATGAATTTTGCCTCATTTTATGACCTTTCTTGCTATAATTAAGTGAATTACTGAAATTATTAAGTTAATAACATGGTTGTTAAGTGAATCTGGCTTCCCAATTGACTTTGCTCATCAGAAGGTCTCAAAAGATGATCACATGACCCTGGAACACTGCAACTGTCATGATGAGATGTTATCCATTCAATTGCATCAGACTCTTGGCAATTCTGTGGGTCATAATACATGCCATCATACATAGTGTCATAATACATGCCAGTCCCAAGCGTCTGAATTTTGATGACATGACCATGGGGATGTTGCAATGGTTGTAAGTGTGAAAAACAATTACGTCACTTTTTTCAGTGCTGTTGTAACTTTGGTCACTAAACAAATGGTTGTAAGTTAAGGACTGCCTGTAGTTCCCCTCTTTTTGCTGTCTCCAAGTAAAGCAATTGTATCCAATATTGTGAAAGTGGTGAGTGATGCGAAAGTAAATTTGGAATTTCCTCTCACTTTCTAAATGGATTTGGCCGATGTAAATGAAGGAGAAAGTCTGATCTGGTGGTGATCCTTTTGTGGTCAAATAGCTCCAAATAGCCTGTTCCTCTGTTCCTATCAGAGTTGACTGTTTTGAGGTAGGAAAAGAAGCTAGTTATCTTACTAAGATTGTAAAATATTTTACTACAAATCGTTTTATGCACATGCTTATGTTTATATCACATTTACATTTAGAATAGAATAAAGCTGGAAGGTCTTCTAATCCTGCCCCCTGATCAAGCAGCAGAACCTATACTATTTCAGATAAGTGGCTGTTTAGTCTCTTCTTAAAAACCACCAGTGGTGGAGCGCCCACAATTTCTGGAGGCAACTTCTGTTTCACTGGTTAATTATCTTCACTATTGGGAAGTTTCTCCTTAATTCCAGGTTGCTTCTCTCCTTGATTAGTTTCCATCCTTTGTTTCTTGTCCTGCCCTCTGGTGCTTTGGAGAATAATTTGACCCCCTCTTCTAAGTGACTGTCTAGTCTCCTTTTAAAAATCTCCAGTGATGGAGCGTCCATGATTTCTGAAGGCAAATTTATACAAACAATAAAGGATATTAAATGTTTTTAAAAATTAAGAGCCACTTTGGTGTAGTATTTAAAATACTGGTCTAGAAATGAGAAGACTGGGAGATTTGGGTCTTCTTTAGGCATGAAAACTGACTGAGTAACTTTGGGCCTGTCCTACTTTCTCAACTCAGCCCCCCTCACAGGATTGTTGTGGGGAAAATAGGCAGACCTATTCTCACAGCCTTGAGATGACCAAAACATATATTTAAAAAAGGTAGGATAAAAATAATGATTATAATTGTGTGGGAAGGTTATTCAGATATTCTAGATCCAAGTTGTGTAGAGTTTTCTAAGTAAATATCTGCTTTTAAAGGAAACTCTTCCAAGGCTTGTTGTTGGAGCATCCAAGAACAAGGTGGTAGCCAGGAGTGCTTAAATTACTGTATGCATTCCTGTGAAATTGCACACTGTTTTCAGTTTTGACTTTTCTGCTGGAGGGATAAAACTGGTCAGGCTTAACAGGATGAGCAGATGGAAAAAATTCCCTTCCCTTTTTTAATTTGGGAAGGTAATTTAAATCCAAGATGAGCTACTTTTGTTTATATTTGGGGTTGTTTTTAAATGGACAATCAAGCCTGTTTCCAATCTGAAGGGAAAATACCTGTTGCATGGTTGAAAGTTTTTTAAAACTTCCTGTATGTCTTTGCATATTGTGTATAGTTTGAATTAATATTATAGTTCAGAGATGGATAGCACTTCTTGAATGCTAAAATTACAGATGGGGTCTGAGAAATCCTTTTTGGAAGGGGGAAGGCAAACATTGTCTTAAGGAATGGCAGGGCCTACAAATAGTTGTATGTTCCAAGGGGCAAAATCAAATTTAGATTGCATCAAATATTGGTATTAGTTTCCTTATAAAACAATAGCTGCATTCCGTTCTAGTCTGCACCAGTCAGATGCCACCTCATGTAAGGTACAGTATATGCCCTAAGTGTGGATGCTCAGAGAATTGGACTCTTATAAGAAGAGTTTGTGGAAATTGGGTATGTTTAACTTTGTGGCAAAAAGTCATAATGCAATCATAATCACCCTCTTCAAATATCTTAAGGGTTGTCACAC